CTCTTCAGAATCTCCCAAAAGCACAGTGTCATCAGCAAAGAGCAACTGTGACAACTCCCACTTTGTGTTTGAATCTTTATCTTTTAACTCCACACCTCTTGCCAAGACCCTCGCATTCACTTCTCTTACAACCCCATCTATAAATATATTGAACAACCACGGTGACATCACACATCCTTGTCTAAGGCCTACTTTTACTGGGAAATAATCTCCCTCTCTCCTGTATACTCTAACCTGAGCCTCACTATCCTCAAAAACTCTTCACCACTTTCAGTAACCTACCTCCTATACCATACACCTGCACCATCTGCCACATTACCCTAGAATTATCGAGTATATATACATCCGAAACACTGGCTCATATGACGGATATATACGGCCGAAACAGTCAAAGGGTTAAGGAGAAGTATAAAATGGAAATGTACTTCTTATAAATGAAAAAAAAATCAGTACAGTAGAATATCTGTACTGTACAGTATATTATGCATTTTTTAAGAAATTATAATTAAAGAACAGCCTTCAATACATTACAAATTTACAACCCACAAGTATAGCTTTAACAAAACTATTAACAGAAGTATGTTATGACAGTGCTGAGTGAAGATTAACCTTCTGTATGTTTTGTAGTGTTTACCAGTCCTCACCTTTACTCTTAAGAATCCTATTATACCTCATGAGTTTTTCAGTCTTTATTACCTAGTCTCTCAAATTTGCCTAAATTAGAGATGCTCTCAAGTGAAACACAGCTCGCTGGAAGGCTACCTGGTTCAAGCATGAAACAAAATACATTTGAAATGAGCAATTGATTTTTCAGCTTTTGCTTTCACAAGCTTCTACCACGTGACCAAGGATGAGGGTATCAAATGATTTAGATAAAGAAAAATTGGATATCAAATTGGGGAGGAGGAGTATGGAAGAAGTGAATGTTTTCAGATACTTGGGAGTTGACGTGTCGGCGGATGGATTTATGAAGGATGAGGTTAATCATAGAATTGATGAGGGAAAAAAGGCGAGTGGTGCATTGAGGTATATGTGGAGACAAAAAACGTTATCTATGGAGGCAAAGAAGGGAATGTATGAAAGTATAGTAGTACCAATACTCTTATATGGGTGTGAAGCTTGGGTTGTGAATGCAGCAGCGAGGAGGCGGTTGGAGGCAGTGGAGATGTCCTGTCTAAGGGCAATGTGTGGTGTAAATATTATGCAGAAAATTCGGAGTGTGGAAATTAGGAGAAGGTGTGGAGTTAATAAAAGTATTAGTCAGAGGGCTGAAGAGGGGTTGAGGTGGTTTGGTCATTTAGAGAGAATGGATCAAAGAAGAATGACATGGAGAGCGTATAAATCTGTAGGGAAAGGAAGGTGGGGTAGGGGTCGTCCTCTAAAAGGTTGGAGGGAGGGGGTAAAGGAGGTCTTGTGGGCGAGGGGCTTGGACTTCCAGCAAGCGTGCATGAGCGTGTTAGATAGGAGTGAATGGAGATGAATGGTATTTGGGACCTGATGATCTGTTGGAGTGTGAGCAGGGTAATATTTAGTTAAGGGATTCAGGGAAACTGGTTATTTTTATATAGCCAGACTCGAGTCCTGGAAATGGGAAGTACAATGCCTGCACTCTAAAGGAGGGGTTCGGGATATTAGCAGTTTGGAGGGATATGTTGTGTATCTTTATAGGTATATACTTCTAAACTGTTGTGTTCTGAGCACCTCTGCAAAAATAGTGATTATGTGTGAGTGAGGTGAAAGTGTTGAATGATGAAAGTATTTCCTTTTTGGGGATTTTCTTTCTTTTTTTGGGTCACCCTGCCTCAGTGGGAGACGGCCGACTTGTTAAAAAAAAAAAATTCTCATCACCAATGGAGAAAGCAAGAGGGACAGTAAAAAATATTCACTGATCTGTGTTAGAAATTCAGCAGCTTCTTCCTCTTACTCCCTGGTTAATTTACTGCCCTGGTACTTGTGATTTGCTTGATATGCCACTAGGTAAACAGGTGTCACATGCTAGTTAAGAGTCTTATCAATGATTTCTTTGTAACTATAAAGCACAGGTGCATCTTTAAGGTTAATTATAAAATCACTACATTAAGTAAAAAATTAAAAACATTAAACTACAGTACATTAGACCCTCACATCCTGCAATACGTACTATCTAAAATTGATAATGATAAAATTACAGTATTTTAAGAAAAAGAGGATAAATAAGTATACACGATATGATGTAGGGCGAAATGACAGTAGTTTGTTGGATTATGTATTGGTAGATAAAAGACTGTTGAGTAGACTTCAGGATGTACATGTTTATAGAGGGGCCACAGATATATCAGATCACTTTCTAGTTGTAGCTACACTGAGAGTAAAAGGTAGATGGGATACAAGGAGAATAGAAGCATCAGGGAAGAGAGAGGTGAAGGTTTATAAACTAAAAGAGGAGGCAGTTAGGGTAAGATATAAACAGCTATTGGAGGATAGATGGGCTAATGAGAGCATAGGCAATGGGGTCGAAGAGGTATGGGGTAGGTTTAAAAATGTAGTGTTAGAGTGTTCAGCAGAAGTTTGTGGTTACAGGAAAGTGGGTGCAGGAGGGAAGAGGAGCGATTGGTGGAATGATGATGTAAAGAGAGTAGTAAGGGAGAAAAAGTTAGCATATGAGAAGTTTTTACAAAGTAGAAGTGATGCAAGGAGGGAAGAGTATATGGAGAAAAAGAGAGAAGTTAAGAGAGTGGTGAAGCAATGTAAAAAGAGAGCAAATGAGAGAGTGGGTGAGATGTTATCAACAAATTTTGTTAAAAAATTAGAAAAAGTTTTGGAGTGAGATTAACAAGTTAAGAAAGCCTAGAGAACAAATGGATTTGTCAGTTAAAAATAGGAGAGGAGAGTTATTAAATGGAGAGTTAGAGGTATTGGGAAGATGGAAGGAATATTTTGAGGAATTGTTAAATGTTGATGAAGATAGGGAAGCTGTGATTTCGTGTATAGGGCAAGGAGGAATAACATCTTGTAGGAGTGAGGAAGAGCCAGTTGTGAGTGTGGGGGAAGTTCGTGAGGCAGTAGGTAAAATGAAAGGGGGTAAGGCAGCCGGGATTGATGGGATAAAGATAGAAATGTTAAAAGCAGGGTGGGGATATAGTTTTGGAGTGGTTGGTGCAATTATTTAATAAATGTATGGAAGAGGGTAAGGTACCTAGGGATTGGCAGAGAGCATGCATAGTTCCTTTGTATAAAGGCAAAGGGGATAAAAGAGAGTGCAAAAATTATAGGGGGATAAGTCTGTTGAGTGTACCTGGTAAAGTGTATGGTAGAGTTATAATTGAAAGAATTAGGAGTAAGACGGAGAATAGGATAGCAGATGAACAAGGAGGCTTTAGGAAAGGTAGGGGGTGTGTGGACCAGGTGTTTACAGTGAAACATATAAGTGAACAGTATTTAGATAAGGCTAAGAGGTCTTTGTGGCATTTATGGATTTGGAAAAGGCGTATGACAGGGTGGATAGGGGGGCAAATGTGGCAGATGTTGCAAGTGTATGGTGTAGGAGGTAGGTTACTGAAAGCAGTGAAGAGTTTTTACGAGGATAGTGAGGCTCAAGTTAGAGTATGTAGGAAAGAGGGAAATTTTTTTCCCAGTAAAAGTAGGCCTTAGACAAGGATGTGTGATGTCACCGTGGTTGTTTAATATATTTATAGATGGGGTTGTAAGAGAAGTAAATGCGAGGGTCTTGGCAAGAGGCGTGGAGTTAAAAGATAAAGAATCACACACAAAGTGGGAGTTGTCACAGCTGCTCTTTGCTGATGACACTGTGCTCTTGGGAGATTCTGAAGAGAAGTTGCAGAGATTGGTGGATGAATTTGGTAGGGTGTGCAAAAGAAGAAATTAAAGGTGAATACAGGAAAGAGTAAGGTTATGAGGATAACAAAAAGATTAGGTGATGAAGATTGAATATCAGATTGGAGGGAGAGAGTATGGAGGAGGTGAACGTATTCAGATATTTGGGAGTGGACGTGTCAGCGGATGGGTCTATGAAAGATGAGGTGAATCATAGAATTGATGAGGGAAAAGAGTGAGTGGTGCACTTAGGAGTCTGTGGAGACAAAGAACTTTGTCCTTGGAGGCAAAGAGGGGAATGTATGAGAGTATAGTTTTACCAACGCTCTTATATGGGTGTGAAGCGTGGGTGATGAATGTTGCAGCGAGGAGAAGGCTGGAGGCAGTGGAGATGTCATGTCTGAGGGCAATGTGTGGTGTGAATATAATGCAGAGAATTCGTAGTTTGGAAGTTAGGAGGAGGTGCGGGATTACCAAAACTGTTGTCCAGAGGGCTGAGGAAGGGTTGTTGAGGTGGTTCGGACATGTAGAGAGAATGGAGCGAAACAGAATGACTTCAAGAGTGTATCAGTCTGTAGTGGAAGGAAGGCGGGGTAGGGGTCGGCCTAGGAAGGGTTGGAGGGAGGGGGTTAAAGGAGAGGTTTTGTGTGCGAGGGGCTTGGACTTCAGCAGGCATGCGTGAGCGTGTTTGATAGGAGTGAATGGAGACAAATGGTTTTTAATACTTGACGTGCTGTTGGAGTGTGAGCAAAGTAACATTTATGAAGGGATTCAGGGAAACCGGCAGGCCGGACTTGAGTCCTGGAGATGGGAAGTACAGTGCCTGCACTCTGAAGGAGGGGTGTTAATGTTGCAGTTTAAAAACTGTAGTGTAAAGCACCCTTCTGGCAAGACAGTGATGGAGTGAATGATGGTGAAAGTTTTTCTTTTTCGGGCCACCCTGCCTTGGTGGGAATCGGCCGGTGTGATAATAAATAAATAAATAAAAAAAATTACAGTATAACAATAAGCACTAAGGCCTGTGATTTTTCCTTTCCAATTTATTACTCCTTATCCTCATTTTTCTTTACCTATACCCACAATATTTAATAAGCATACTAGTTTATATTTCCTTAGAAGCCAGTAACTGATGGCAAGTACTGAAAAACACAACCTAGTGTGGTAACTAACAAAATTCAATAACTTACTGCAGGTCTGTTTTTAGCAACAAGTGAGAAGAGCATAAGGAGTCCAAGTTTTTCATTTGTATCACACTGAGGCAGGAGAGAGACCAAAGTCATCACATGGTCATGTATAGGTTCCTTCTTAACTGCATATATCTGGGGTAGTACACGAGACAGTGAGTAGTTGCCTGCAAAGAGAAAATAGAAAAAGATATCTATGAAACCTTGAAATATAGTGAAACCTCTAATTAATGGACTATCAGAGGGGTAGAATGCTGTCTGCTATTGCTAATTGTCTGTAGATTCTGAATTATAAAATTTACTATTCGTGACTTTTTTTTTTTTTTTTTTCAACAAGTCGGCCGTCTCCCACCGAGGCAGGGTGACCCAAAAAAGAAAGAAAATCCCAAAAAAGAAAATACTTTCATCATCATTCAACACTTTCACCACACTCACACATTATCACTGTTTTTGCAGAGGTGCTCAGAATACAACAGTTTAGAAGCATACACATATAAAGATACACAACATATCCCTCCAAACTGCCAATATCCCAAACCCCTCCTTTTAAGTGCAGGCATTGTACTTCCCATTTCCAGGACTCAAGTCCGACTATATGAAAATAACCGGTTTCCCTGAATCCCTTCACTAAATATTACCCTGCTCCCACTCCAACAGATCGTCAGGTCCCAAGTACCATTCGTCTCCATTCACTCCTATATGCTTTATATGCTTTCCATGTCATTCTACTTTGATCCATTCTCTCCAAATGACCAAACCACCTCAACAACCCCTCTTCTGCCCTCTGACTAATACTTTTATTAACTCCACACCTTTTCCTAATTTCCACACTCCGAATTTTCTACATAATATTTACACCACACTTGCCCTTAAACAGGACATCTCCACTGCCTCTAACCGTCACCTCGCTGCTGCATTTACCACCCAAGCTTCACACCCATATAAGAGTGTTGGTACTACTATACTTTCATACATTCCCTTCTTTGCCTCCATAGATAACGTTTTTTGTCTCCACATATACCTGAACGCACCACTCACCTTTTTTCCCTCATCAATTCTATGATTAGCCTCATCCTTCATAAATCCATCCGCCGACACGTCAACTCCCAAGTATCTGAAAACATTCACTTCTTCCATACTCCTCCTCCCCAATTTGATATCCAATTTTTCTTTATCTAAATCATTTGACACCCTCATCACCTTACTCTTTTCTATGTTCACTTTCAACTTTCTACCTTTACACACATTCCCAAACTCATCCACTAACCTTTGCAATTTTTCTTTAGAATCTCCCATAAGCACAGTATCATCAGCAAAAAGTAACTGTGTCAATTCCCATTTTGAATTTGATTCCCCAAAATTTAATCCCACCCCTCTCCGAACACCCTAGCATTTACTTCCTTTATAACCCATCTATAAATATATTAAACAACCATGGTGACATTACACATCCCTGTCTAAGACCTACTTTTACCGGGAAGTAGTCTCCCTCTCTTCTACACACCATAACCTGAGCCTCACTATCCTCATAAAAACTCTTTACAGCATTTAATAACTTACCACCTATTCCATATACTTGCAATATCTGCCACATTGCTCCTCTATCCACTCTATCATATGCCTTTTCTAAATCCATAAATGCAATAAAAACTTCCCTACCTTTATCTAAATACTGTTCACATATATGCTTCAATGAAAACACTTGATCTACACATCCCCTACCCACTCTGAAACCTCCTTGTTCATCCGCAATCCTACATTCTGTCTTACCTCTAATTCTTTCAATTATAACCCTACCGTACACTTTTCCTGGTATACTCAGTAAACTTATTCCTCTACAATTTTTACAGTCTCTTTTGTCCCCTTTCCCTTTATATAAAGGGACTATACATGCTCTCCACCAATTCCTAGGTACCTTCCCCTCTTTCATACATTTATTAAACAAAAGTACCAACCACTCCAACACTATATCTCCCCCTGCTTTTAACATTTCTGTCATGATCCCATCAGTTCCAGCTGCTTTACCCCCTTTCATTTTACGTAATGCCTCATGTACCTCCCCCACACTTACATTCTGCTCTTCTTCACTCCTAAAAGATGGTATACCTCCCTGACCAGTGCATGAAATTACTGCCTCTGTTTCTTCCTTAACATTTAAAAGTTCCTCAAAATATTCTCGCCATCTACCTAATACCTCCATCTCCCCATCTACTAACTCCCCTACTCTGTTTTTAACTGACAAATAAATACTTTCCCTAGGCTTTCATAACTTGTTTAATAACTCACTCCAAATTTTTTTCTTATTTTCATTAAAATTTCTTGACCGTGCCTCTCCCACTCTATCATCTGCTCTCCTTTTGCACTCTCTCACCACTCTCTTTACCTTTCTTTTACTCTCCATATACTCTGCTCTTCTTATAACACTTCTGCTTTGTAAAAACCTCTCATAAGCTACCTTTTTCTCTTTTATCACACCCTTTACTTCATCATTCCACCAATCACTCCTCTTTCCTCCTGCCCCCACCCTCCTATAACCACAAACTTCTGCCCCACATTCTAATACTGCATTTTTAAAAACTATTCCAACCCTCTTCAACCCCCCCACTACTCATCTTTGCACTAGCCCACCTTTCTGCCAATAGTCGCTTATATCTCACCCGAACTTCCTCCTCCCTTAGTTTATACACTTTCACCTCCTTCTTACTTGTTGTTGCCACCTTCCTCTTTTCCCATCTACCTCTTACTCTAACTGTAGCTACAACTAAATAATGATCCGATATATCAGTTGCCCCTCTATAAACATGTACATCCTGGAGCCTATCCATCAACCTTTTATCCACCAATACATAATATAATAAACTACTTTCATTACGTGCTACATCATACCTTGTATATTTATTTATCCTCTTTTTCATAAAATATGTATTACTTATTACCAAATCTCTTTCTACACATAGCTCAATTAAAGGCTCCCCATTTACATTTACCCCTGGCACCCCAAATTTACCTACTACTCCCTCCATAACATTTTTACCCACTTTAGCATTGAAATCCCCAACCACCATTACTCTCACACTTGATTCAAAACTCCCCATGCATTCACTCAACATTTCCCAAAATCTCTCTCTCCTCTACACTTCTCTCTTCTCCAGGTGCATACACACTTATTATAACCCACTTTTCATATCCAATCTTTATTTTTCTCCACATAATCCTTGAATTAATACATTTATAGTCCCTCTTTTCCTGCCATAGCTTATCCTTCTACATTATTGCTACTCCTTCTTTAGCTCTAACTCTATTTGAAACCCCTGACCTAATCCCATTTATTCCTCTCCACTGAAACTCTCCCACCCCCTTCAGCTTTGTTTCACTTAAAGCCAGGACATCCAGCTTCTTCTCGTTCATAACATCCACAATCATCTCTTTCTTATCATCTGCACAACATCCACGCACATTCAGACTTCCCACTTTGATAATTTTCTTCTTCTTATTCTTTTTAGTAATCTTTACAGGAAAAGGGGTTACTAGCCCATTGTTCCCGGCATTTTAGTTGACTTTTACAACACGCATGGCTTACGGAGGAAAGATTCTTATTCCACTTCCCCATGGATATAAAAGGAAAAGTAATAAGACCAAGAACTATTAAGATAAAATCAAAGAAAACTCAGATGAGTGTGTATAAATAAATGTGTACATATATGTGTAGTGTGACCTAAGTGTAAGTAGAAGTAGCAAGACATACCTGTAATCTTGCATATTTATGAGACAGACAAAAGACATCAGCAATCCTACCATCATGTAAAACAATCACAGGCTTTCTTTTACACTCACTTGGCAGGATGGTAGTACCTCCCTGGGTGGTTGCTGTCTACCAACCTACTGTTATAAATGGAAAAGGTTGGGAATCAATGGACTTCATCCAGTGAAACTTGTAGGTGTGTCATAGAACACCTAGTGAAATGTAAAGTGTAAGTTCAATTCAAGGATAGGGAGGACAGATCCATTTCCCTGGATCAAGAGCCCCTCACCAACATTAAAAAACCTCCTCTGAGGAAATAGGCTGATAAAGAGTGCATAAATTCAGAGTGGATAGGTGGTGTAGGGAACTTTGTGGAAAACATGGGAGAAAGGGTGTAAATGAAGTTTTGAGAGATAAGGGGATTGAACATTCAGCATCCATGTGTGAGCATCTTTAACTAAAGTGAAACCAAGTACTTTCTGGGATTTGATGTGCTGCTGGAGTATGAGAAAGTTATCTGAATGAATTCAGCGAACCAGATAATTGGTCAAAGGATTTTTGCAAATCCTTTAATAAGAACAATATATAGTTAAAAAAAATTGGATTTAATATCTGACCTGATATCACAGAATCAATAATAGGCTGAATATGTAAAGCCAGAAGATCAGCTGCTTCAATAGCTGCCAAAGAGAGGTAGGAACTCATGTTGCGGCTAAGTTCACGATTCCCTTTATGCAAAAATTTCACTGCTACAGGAAGAGCCAGAGCCATCACTCCTCGTTTGTGATAGTTCTGCAAAAAAGTATTGCACAATCAGTTCATAAGGTTTTGAAAAGTTTTGCTTGTATGTAGAAAACAATACTCTTGAATGTTACATATAAAAAAATTCAAAATTATATAATTTAAACAAATCTAAGAATAAAATAATGTAACACAGATGAAGAATGTCAAACAAGAAGTGTGGAACTTATACTACACTGATAAGAGCATTAGTAACAACAAAGTATGACCAGTAATTCAAGTAAATCGGTACCGACACACTACACGGGTCAGGGAAGAATAATAGAAGAGTAAGGTTGGGATTATTATATATCACTAGAGAACACGATGACTAACCGATAATTTAATGAATCTGAATTTACAACCTTACTGTAGTCAAGATGATGGATAATGTACTTCAAATGTGTACAAGAATTTCTGTGACTGAATTTATAACTAAATGATATCTTGCATAAAAATATCTGATATGAAAAATAAACTAGGTAGTAGGTTGGTAGACAGCAACCGCCCAGGGAGGTACTACCGTCCTGCCAAGTGAGTGTAAAATGGAAGACTAATTGTTTTACACGATGGTAGGATTGCTGGTGTTTTTTTTTTTTCTGTCTCATACATATGCAAGATTTCAGGTACATCTTGCTACTTCTACTTACACTTAGGTCACACTACACATACATGTACAAGCATATATATACACACCTCTCTGAGTTTTCTTCTATTTTCTTTCTAGTTCTTGTTCTTTTTTATTTCCTCTTACCCCCATGGGGAAGTGGAACAGAATTCTTCCTTCGTAAGTCATGTGTGTTGTAAGAGGCGACTAAAATGCCAGGAGCAAGGGGCTAGTAACCCCTTCTCCTGTATATATTACTAAATGTAAAAGGAGAGAGACTTTTTTTTTCCTTTTGGGCTACCCCGCCTCGGTGGGATACGGCCGGTGTGTTGAAAGAAAGCTGTCTGATCTTTTGTTACCCAAAAAAGCATTATCATATAATTAGAGTATCCTTTTTCCAAATGATAGTAAATTTCTAAGGTTAAATTCATTTAACAGCAATACAGCACTTGTTGCCCAGATACATTATTCTTCCAGTGTAAAACTGTTTTACTATTGTCTTTTTTCTTCTTGCTTTTGCTTTAATATTTTTCTTAGCTTTTTTTTGGGTGGGTACACCAACATCTTACACATTTTAGTTTCTACAATAAAGTGAGAGCTAATTCACGCATCTGACAGGCAGCCTAGAAGATGAGATTTTTCAGAAAGATTTAAATAGAGATCCTTAAAAAATCCTTAAAAATAATTTTATGCAAGGAGGGTGAAATGTTTGAAAATATCTAGGAAAATTCCAAGGTCACCCTTCTCAACTCCCAAGCAATGAGGTTTCTTACAAGGAATTAGAGTACCAATATGAAAAGATTAATAATAGAGGATTTGGATAGAAATAATGCATTGTAATACTGAATCTCATCCAAATTTGTAATAAGGTGTTGTGGCACTAAACTTAGTAATAAAGCATTCTGGATAACAGTACCGCCTCTCCTCACTTACCAACGTACTCATTTATCGACGACTGACTTACAAAGGGCTCTCTGACCAGTATGCATACCTAAATAATGTATGTAAGAGCCGATTGCTTCTATTCTGTTTATTAAAATATACAGTACATTACTGTATAAGCATTTAAAAATATACCAGAAATGTTATAAATGGTGCGAAGATGACATTAAAATAATATCAAAGATGGGCGACACATGCCTACTGCCATTATAGTATGCTCTTCACTTAGCGACGAATTCGTTTACCAATGTGGTCTTAGGAATGGAACTCCGTCGTTAAGTGAGGAGAGGCATACATAAATACATACACAAATACATACATACATACACAAAAAATAAAAAGAAAGCATTCTTCATTAAAAATTTAACTTCAAATTATATTACACAGAGGATTCAGAAATTGTCAAAAAACCAAGTGATAGCAGAAAAGCTTTACTTTTATACTTACTATTCGTGACCTATCTTTAGTACTCTCAAATGGCTAATTCCAGAAAGCATGAAAGATATTAGACTTATCAAAACACATGAGCATGATGTACACAACACATGTAGTTCCACGGAACACTGTACTATATCACAACATGAATAACTTATAATAATAGTTTGGAGGGATATGTTGTGTATCTCTATACGTATATGCTTCTAAACTGTTATATTCTGAGCACCTCTGCAAAAGCAGTGATAATGTGTGAGTGTGGTGAAAGTGTTGAATGATGATGAAAGTATTTTCTTTTTGGGGATTTTCTTTCTTTTTTTGGGTCACCCTGCCTCGGTGGGAGACGACCGACTTGTTGAAAAAAAAAAAAAAAAAAAAAATTCTTAATTAGCCATACTATAATTTTTCCCCCTTTGCCTCACTTACTCCTGCATAAGCTATCTTCCTCAGTCACCCCTCACACTTAATAGGACCATTCACATCTACTTCTCAAGAATACAATACATACTGTATATGATTGTGTGATTAGGGTGTCATTTATTCATCAAATATTGCAGCACACATGACAAAAAGTACATAAACTATAAATAAAAACTTAAGAAATCCCTTTTTTAAAATACACAAAGTAAATATTGGGGACTCAGCTGTAGTATTTGTGCTTGCTTCATGCTAAAATATGCAAGGAATACTAAGATAAACCTGTGAATGGTGAATGTGTTTTCTTCCTGGAGTCATCCTGCTTTGGAAGGAGACGGCTGTCTAGTCATAAAATTAATGTACTGTATCTCATACCAGTGATGTATAGAACTGTTCTAGAAAAAGTTTTGGTGCAAGTTAAAAAACATAGCTTTAATGTAGCTGTGAATATCTCCCATTACCTTACATATTTAGAAATGTGTAATGACAGTTTTGAAATATGTAGTGTGGCTCACCAGGAAGATACAAGAGACAACATCAGAAGCAATCTTAGCATGTGGGGGGTCATGGTCACGTGTGGATGGTCGAAGGTTGTGGTTGAGACAAGTCTGCAAGAGAGCCACCAGAGCTTCTGCATGCTGCTCAATACTCCCAGTTTCCCTGAAGAAAAAATGCAGTGAATGCCACATTTATGTATTTTAAACAATAATATATCTTAAAAAAAAAAAATTACATACGTAATATATTTAAGACAGCAACTGATTCTTTTTATTGACATTTATCTACAAAGAACTTGTATTGTGGAAAAAAAACATTACATTACAGCTTGCTACGCACACACTATTATGAATAAAAATCCTATATTACCTACCTGATGGCAGATGTAACACGAGTGATACATATCTCAACAACACTTTGGTCATTGTCATTTCGAGTATACTCTGGCAAGCTGGCAATTTCTAAAATTTTATTTACAACATCAGTGAGATCGTTGACAATCAAGTGGTCAGATACATTAAACAAATCACCAGCCTGTGAAAACAAAGAAAAAAAGTCTTAATTACAAAGTTCATATGTACCCAAAGAAAGGTACTATGGTACAGTACCACTCCATGTTATGCTGTACAGTGCTAGTCACGGCATTGTGCTGGGTGAGCGTCCTGGCATAATGCAGTGACGAAAATCAGAGGCCTACCATTCAGGGGGGATTTTTTTTCGTCAGTGCATTATGACAGGCAGCAGTCATTAGCATGACATTACGGCCTGCTGCCACACTCCACAGTGACTCCTCAGTGCTCAAGTGGCTGCTGTGGTAAGAGGAAATGTTGCACTTTTGTGTCTCATCTGTCCCATCTTTTGACCGGTGTTCCCTTTGGTTTTGGAGCTATACATGTTTGATTATGGGTACAGGGAAGGCTTTAACACCTGAAACAATAGCTCAAATCATAGGGCTTCACAAAGCTGGGCACCACACACAAGAAATAATGGAGAATGTTTGTTTGTGTGTGTGAACTTTCAGCGAGGAACTGGGTGCACGTTTCAAGGCTGGAGGCAGTGTCGAGTTACCATCCGCCAAACCTCAGCCTGGCCCCTCGAAGATGTGCTCATACTTTTACTGTTGTAAAGAAGCAGTTAGAGAGTACACATAACTGCTAGAAACTGAAAGAAAAGAGCCCACATCTTCTCTCAGAGGTGTCTGTAAGAACTTAACAAAAGTGTGTCAGAACTGGGCTACAGTAGTCACTGCCAGGTTAAGACACTGATCCTCTCCAAGCCACAGAAGAAACGTAGGCGGGACAGTGGTCTGAAGTACTTTGGAATGATGAAGCAACCTTCACTGTCACCTGTAACCATGGGGGACGTGTGTACCGGCCCAGAGGTAGTGGCCTGCTAGTCCTGTGGGATCACCAAACACTCAGACTCGCTCATGGTTTGGGTGTGTTTCAGTGCTCAGTGTTTTGGTGAACTCATTGTGCTTCCCAAAAGCCAGTATATGAACCAGTATAATTACCTGGAGTTATTGTGTGACAATTTACCTGAGGCGTTTGAAAAGTGTAGGGCTACGGTTTTTATGGAGGATGGTGCACTCTTTCATACCATCAAATCTGTAGTTCAGTGGCTTAAGGACTGTGAAGTGAGGTTCTTTAATACCTCGCCAGGCAATTCCCCAGACTTAAACACTATCGAGAACCTCTGGTCAATAGTGAAACTAGGTTTACTGGGCAAGGATATCAGTTCCATCCCATGGCTGGAAGCTGTTCTACACGAGGCATGGAATAATATACCTCCACAAACCCTCAAGAATTTGTGAGAGAGTCTTCCTACATGGCTGAGGGGTGTGATTAAGCGTAAAGGATGCAGAACCAAGTATTAAAACCTCAATAAGTGTGCAAATATATATATTATAATCTTTCATGGTATGTGTTTGTTTTGGTACATGTGTGGGGGAGGGGTGGTATAATGTCATGAATAGCACTGTACATATATCATTAAACATTAATTTCAAAATCCCCGAGACATAAAAACACTAACAAAACAACCCATGTCACTTTTTACAGATGATTCTAGAACATTAAAACATGATGTATGGTCACAGGTGATAAATTCCAAATTCTTTGATACAAAAAGAATAGTCACCCAATGTCTCACAGGAGGGTCACCTGACACCCTAGGATGACCCATATTGTGAAATGACAATGACTACAGCACTACTGATGGAGACTATGTTAGAACTAGAACTGGACTTCACAAAAAAGGTAAATCTCTCCAATTCCTTGAATCAAGAGCCACTTCACTATGGCAAGGGACCTTCCTTGAAGGGAGAAGGAGGCAATTTTTTTTTTTTTTTTTTTGAGAGAGGGATTTTACATGCTATTCGTGTTTGGTAATATCACTAGAGGGAAACAAGCAAGTCAAACCAGAATTTTGAGGAAGTAATTATTATACCAGCACTGGGGTTCAGTGGGTCACAGGATCATGATGTCCAAGCACTTTTCAAAGCAAAAACAGCCTGGAAGCAAGTGATAACATTTTTTTCTTTGAGTCGCCTCGCTTTTCTGTGAAATGGCCCCATGTGATTAGATAAAATAAGAGTACATGCTCTTATGTTTATAAATGGAGGTAATTTAAAATAAAATATTACATCTGCACGAGTTTTCCTTTCCTATTATTATTATAATCAAATAAAGAGCTAAACCGACAACGGTCGTGCAGCCCTTTCCTATAAACAAAACAGGAAAAGAAATTTAACTTACTTTTGAGAGATCCTTGTGCGAGAGGACTTGTGTGAAGAGTTCGTGCATTTTGACACATTAACTGCATGTCAACTGTTAGCTTTGTACATTGCACATTTATCTGCAAAAATATCAGTAAACTAACAATTAGAAAAAAAATTAAAATTAATAGCCAATAATGTTACCAGCACAAAAACCTAATATCTATTATCTTACTTATGACAAATCCACAGAACAAGTCTTGTTCTGCATATTTGTGCCTTTGTCCAAAAATAAATTTTTGAAAATATATTACCTTAGTTACTCAATTCCTACAGAAAGCTCTGCATGTTGCCTGGCAAACTAGATGTAACTTTCAAAGGAGAGAAATACAGTTCTTAAGCAAAATAATTTTTTGCAATACTAGTACCATCCGACTTACGACCTGCTCGGCATACGACCACTCGTACTTACAACTGTACGCCTGGCAGCAGGGCTGGGCAGGCCAATGCATACTGCAGTACTAAAAGCATAAAAAAGTAAAAGTACAAAATGAAATACAAAAATAAAAATAAAATAAAATCATTACAATAACTGTGTTTATATACAGTAGTAAAATATTTATTAAAAAGTAACATACGATACTATGTAGGTATTTTATATAGGAAAGGTTTGACATTATGCCCTACCCAGTATGTCAGTTCTAAGGTTTGACTTGCATCCATTTTGACTTACGACCAGTTGGTCAGAACCAAGCTTGGTCATAAGTTGGATGGTACTAGTACAGTGGACCCCCGCATAACGATCACCTCCAAATGCGACCAATTATGTAAGTGTATTTATGTAAGTGCGTTTGTACGTGTATGTTTGGGGGTCTGAAATTGACTAATCTACTTCACAATATTCCTTATGGGAAAAAATTCGGTCAGTACTGGCACCTGAACATACTACTGGAATGAAAAAAGTTCGTTAACCGGGGGTCCACTGTATTTAACTACATTAACATAAGGTTAAAAGAATGACTTAACATGAAAATGCTAATTTTTTTTTAAACAGGAAAATTATGTACTGCCAATGTCCACAACTGCAATAAATTAAAAATAATAAAGCCATAAATAGCAATAGTAATGTACTAATTACATTCACTGAACACATTGCTTGGAGGAATGGGAAACATCAGGTTCAGTCCAGGGAAAGGACGGGAAGGTTCAATTCCTTAGTTCAAGAGCTCCAAACCAGCATCAAAAAACTTCCTTCAGGATAAAGTAGATGTCTATCATATGGACTGATGGCACTAAAAAAGCCTGCTGGACCACATATCCATTACAGCTTGGTTGATTTGGCACTTGGAGGTGCTGAATGAGTTTCCTCAGATGTTGATACAGTGTTTACGTATTGTGCCCATAATGCCCCTGCCCATTACTGGATTTATTTTACACTGACGAGGTGAAAAAAGCGAGTGGTGCACCAAGGAGCCTGTGGAGACAAAGAACTTTGTCCATGGAAGCAATAAAGGAAATGTATGAGAATATAGTTATACCAACGCTCTTACATGGGTGCAAAGCATGGGTGGCGAATGTTGCAACCAGGAGAAGACTGGAGGCAGTGGAGATGTTGCGTCTGAGGGCAATGGGTGGTGTGAATATAATGCAAAGAATTCATAGTCTGGAAATTAGGAGGAGGTGCAGGATTACCAAAACTATTATCCAGTGGGCTGGGGAGGGGTTGTTGAGGTGGTTTGGACATGAAGAGAAGCTGGAACAAAACAGAATGACTTCAAGAGTATAAATCTGTAGTGGAGGGAAGGCGGGGTAGAGGTTGGCCTAGGAAAGGTTGGAGGGAGGGGGATAAAGGTGGTTTTGTGTGCGAGAGGCTTGGACTTCCAACAAGCATACGCGAGAGTGTTAGATAGGAGCGAATGGAGATGGTTTTTAGGACTTGATGTGCTGTTGGAATGTGAACAGGGTAATATTTATGAAGGGATTCAGGGAAACCAGCAGGCCAGACTTGAGTCCTGGAGATGGGAAGTACAATGCCTGCACTCTGAAGGAGGGGTGTTAATGTTGCAGTTTTATAACTAGTGTAAGTGCACCTCTGGCAAGACAGTGGTGGAGTGAATGATAGTAAAAGTTTTTCTTTTTCAGGCCACCCCACCTTGGTGGGAAAAGTCGATGTGTTAATAAAAAAAATTATATACACTGTACAGTATACAGTACATGCCCTGAACTGATTTCCTGAAGTTTTCAACTTGTAAGCCCAGCCTAATGCCAGGCTTCCTTAATGCAAACTTGGGATTCAAGACAAAATTATGTTCACTGCTCTTCTAGAAGTGATGTTAATTATGTACCCTTGCAAGGAAAGATTCTGTTTAGCTAATTTTAATTTGGGTTATCACTAATTCTAGCTTATTCTTTTGTCTGCCATGCAAAACCCAGGTCCATCCTTGAAAAAGCATTTTTGCAAGTCGATTAATGAAGAAAATAAGTGAAAGCTTAACAATTGGTTGGTAAAAAATACCTATTGCCAAAAGGAGCTTATTTGCTTAGGACATACTAAAATTCTCTGCATAATATGGGCTTTACAATAAGTACAGATTGGTATATACTAAAGTTGTATTTAGCCCTATAGTATAGTAATGAATTAAGCGAAATTATTACTACTTAACCAAATAAAACCTAAACCACACAAGCTCAAAAAATTGATATAGCAAAGGCTGCAATCATTAACAACAGCGACTGCATGCAATCATTAACCCATATAGTAAAGGGTCTTTAAGGTTAAGCTAGGTTAGCCTGGATTAGGTTAGGTTCAGTTGGAGTATGTAGATTCTTCTTTCTTCTTGATTTGCCGGTACTGCTGGCCTGGGTCTCTGCCAGTTGGCGACCCAGCCTTGGCTCCCTATCGCGGGAGTGTCCGAGACATATATCTGCCACGAGAGGAGATACAAGTACCTCATCTGCTGGGACCAGCTGTCTCCAGGCCTAGCCCCATTCTCTGCCCTCACAGGGCTCGGAGGGAAAAGGTAGGCACCTCGGGCTGCCACAAACCCCGTTCCACTGGGCTCGAAGAGTGTGGCAGCTACATAGCAGCAGACAATGTCAGGATGTGTAAAGGCAACAAGCACTACAGGATCTTTTTGGAGTCACACACCAGCTTTGGGCCAAAGCCTGAGTGCTGAGGAAGCTCAAGAATGCTTCTTGTTGCATGTGTAACGCAGTACTTGCCACTTGCTCTGCACAAACACATGTCGATTATGTAGACAGAGCCAAAGCATTATGAAATTTAGTTTTTTAATACAGACCGATAGTAGAACCTTACCATACCATTTAAACTTTTAAATTTAAAAATTTGTTGAAACTGTGTCTTTTTTTGCATTTTTGATCTATAAAACATATGAATTATATTTTATAAATCTAAAAAAAACTATTTTTACCCATTCAAATAAAATTATTTTTTGTACTGCAATCCCTCTGTTTAAAAGCAAAAAAACATCCCTTTCCCTTGAAAATTCACAAATAACTAACTTAAAACGTTTGTGGATAAGCCCCTCTCAATTTTTTTTTTAACAAATTCCTTGGTATATTAGATACCTAAATAAACAGCAAAACTAATACTCAAACTGCAAAAGCCTTCTACATTCTTTGTGAAAAATTTCAAACGCACAAAATTAGTGGAATACTCCATAAAGTCTTCTTTATAATAACAAGTGTTCTGTATTTAAAAAATTTTTTTCTTATGACCAAAATTCCGAATTAATTTTTAAAAAAAAATATTGATTTCATGAAGTGCTAACCGAATGGAAAATTTTAACCAAGGAAAAACAGAACTCAATCCCCCATCCACTAACCCGGGCCCTGTCTTTTAAAATCAGTCAAGCTGATGACTGTAAAAAAAAAAAAAAAAAAATTCAAGTTAAATTTAATTTTTTTTACAGTTTGGGCATTTAAAAATTTCACAATGTTTGCTTAAATAAAAGGGTTATACAGTTTTTAATCATAAAATGGTAAAAATTTTACTAAATTTTTAACCCACTGGAATGAAAAATTTTTTGCAAGTTTCATTCCTTATCCCAAAATTTTTTTGGTAAATAAAATTTTTCCCTCTCAGCAATTTCAGTCAGAAATTTTATGACGAATTTCACGATTTTAAACCAGTTTACAGTAGTTTTTTTTTTTTTATGTGCAACCTAATTAAACAAAACCCCCCCAAAACTTATAATAATCAACTTCACTAAAACGTTTGAATCTGTTTACAGTCTCCCCGGAGCATCAGCAGCCATACAAAGGGAATTCTTGTAAAGACATTTCATACACAAAAAGAAGTGGCTATTTTGCTAAGCAGGCATACCCAAATACACACATTTTACATTTGCTGATAGGGCACTTTTTTAACACATGGACCCAGATTTCGATTAACCCCTTTTCCAAGAGTCTGCCAAAAGTGGGGAATTCCAAAGTTAAACCATGGAGGGATGGAGAAGTAACACTTTTGTTTGGAAGGGGAAACCCCCCTTTCCCTAAAGACTAAGTACCAAGTTCTCCCGGGTTTATTTTCCTTTTCTTTTTTTTAATGCCACTGGGCCCAGCTTGACACTGGCCCCCTGTCACCAAAAAAATGTTCCAGAGAGCCCTGTTTCTGGCATTTTTAAAAAATTTCCCCAAATGGGAAAAGACTTGTTTGTACATGTTGCCCAACACCTTGCAACAGCTTTGTCAGGGTGATGTTCCCCATAAACGTTTCCCACAACACTTCATTTTGAACAAGTCCTTTAAATTTTGAAGAAGCCCCTTTTTCCCTCTCTTCCTCCCCTTAGCAATTTCCTGACTTTGCTCTGTTGCTTTGCGTTGAAGGCTTGCACTCTTCAGGGGTTAGTCTTACTGGGGTCCTCCAAAAACTTTTCCCAACCCCAATCCACAAAGATTGCACAACTGGCAAGGGTTGTCGGGGTCGGCCTAAAAACCCTTTAAAATCTTTGGGGAACAAATTGGCCACAATTTTCTCCAAGCAGAGTTCATCGTCCTGGAATCCTCCCGTCAACCTTTATTTAAAGGGCCCCTAGCAATGGAGGATATTGAGGTGATCTTTCCAAAACTCCTTGGGGTAATTTGGTGGGGTACATAAAAGCCCCTTTTGGACACTGCT